AGAGGCCCTGGGGATCCCCAAACGCCGCCAAGGAGCCGAAGAGGTCCCCAAGAGGCCCTAAAGAGGGTTCCAGGGCCGGCGGAATGAGCGAAGCGATTACATAACAATCCCCTAAGAACATGAATCCCTCCGTGGGCCCAAACAAACAAAACATCCAAGGGTACCCTTCACAGGATGCACGATTAGATCCAACAAACACGAAGAACACTAGGATACCCTCCCCGAACCGACATCGATCTTATACCGCGGTCCGACTGTATAATCCGTTTCAGACAAGGACGCAAAGGGCAGTGGCGACCTCTGGAGACAGAGGGACAAGGGAGGAGACAGAAGGACAAGACACAAAATCCGTGTGACTGCGCACGCAAACGGAACAGGTCCCTTGAGGGGCCGACCATGCACCTTGCGGCATGGAAACACAATACTGTTTCATCACCATCATGAACACACATCATCACCATCATCACCACTCTCACCGTCATCACCATCAACGACACTGCAAGAACCATCCTCACCACCATCCTCACCCTGAACCTCACCCTCACCATCACCACAATCACCATCATCATTTCAACCAAAACAACAATGATACTAAGCATCATCAAAATGATCATCATCATCATCATCATCATCATCATCATCATCATCATCATCATCATCAACAACATCATCATGGTCGTCACCGTCATCGTCATCATCATCGTCGTCGTCATCATCATCGTCGCCATCACCATCAACATACATTACACCAAAGAAAAAACCCAATCAAAGGATGGTTTTCGCTGAAAGGATCGACCCGGAACCAGGGAGCCCGGGAACCCAAAACCCATCGAAATCGGGCCGGAACCAATAATCAGGAACCCGGGAACCCGGAACCGGGAACCCAGGAACCCAAACTGCTACCAAAATCGGCGGGAAACTTTCGCCAAATCATTCAACTTCCGCTAGGACCCCTTCAGTGCAAGCACTGATTGGGAAATGTTTGCTAACGGGCTTTCTTAGGGAGCCCGTGATGTAGGCCGTCCAAAATCCGCCGAGGGATTTTGGGCCAAATCTGGCCTGCGCGTTGGATGCATTTATTCCCCAAGCACTGAAGGGGTCCTAGCGGAAGTTGAAGGATTTGGCGAAAAATCCCCGCCGTTTTTGGTGGCAAGCTGGGTTCCCGGGTTCCTGGGCTCCCGGTTTCCGGCTCCCGGGTTCCCGGTTCCGGGTTCCGGGCCGATTTCGGAGGGCGGCGAGGTTCCCAGGTTCCCGGGTTCTTGGTCGATCTTCTTATCGATCGGTCTCACCATCGATCTCAGTACCGACTTCTCGATCGATTTCACCATCGATCTCACTATCAATCTCACAAGCGATCTCACTAGAGATCGCATGAGCGATCTAGCGATCGATCTCACTATCGGTCTCATTGAATCGATTTCAATATCGGTCCCACGATCGACCTTACAATCGCCCTCACTATCGATTCCACTATCGATCTCATTATCGATCTCACAATCGATCTCAAGTTCCATAGTATTTTCAAATCATCCACTGATTGGGTTTTGTCAGGTGTAATATAGAAGCCTCGCTTTCTATTTAAAACCTTCCCCCCCCTCTCGAGCCTCGACGGGACTGGAGGGGGGGGGCAGCGTGCGCAGCACAGTGCAGAAGAGATGTCCATTACGCCTGGCTCTAGCTTCAACAGCGGCAAAGCTCAGCTTCTCCGCTCCTGCCGCCGCGGCCCGCGGCGATGGCAGTCACGACGCGGCTCTCTTGGCTCGCCGCTTGTGTGTTTGACTGCCTGCCAGACGACCCCAACCCAACCCGAAAACCCGAGTTTCAGGTTGGGGGGGGTTTACGGGCTCCATCTGTACTTTTTCAATGTTCCCCGAGCCCCCGCCCCCACTGGAAATGGAGGGCAAATGGAGGCCTTCGGGTTGGGTTGGTGTGGTTTGGTGGGTGGTGAGCGTTGGGGACCGCTCTCGTGGACGAGGACGCAGTCGAGGGCAGGCTCGACTGCGCAGCTGGAAGTCTCGATGACACCCTCCTCCTGGACGGCGGAGATGAAGGGGCCCTGGGACACACAAATGAGTACACCCCAAAAACATGTAGTCCCATATTGTCCCATACTTTCGAGGTGTTTGTCCTCCCCCCCACTTCCCATAGTTTCCCACACTTTCTGGGGACTCGACGACGACTTGTGCCTCTCTGTGTGTGTGTGTGTGTGTTTGTCCCTCCCGAGGAGAGCCCGAAGCGGAGGCACCGCTCGACGAGCCGAGCGCGGACGCGAACCCGTGCGAGGACGACGAGGACGCTGACCTTACGCACACACACAGCAGGGGATGTTGAAGGGGCCCCAGGACACACAAATACATACACACAAATAAAACTACCCCCATAGTTTCCCACAGTTTCTGGGTGTTTGTCGTTGTCCCCACTTCCCATAGGTTTCCATATTTTCTGGGAGATCGACGATGCATTGTGTCTGTGCTTTTTTTCCTCCTGAGATGTGTCGATCCCCATTCGACGAGCGCGTCCCACCACTCGCACAGTAACTACTCGCAAATGGCCTGGATCCCCCGCCACGATAAAGTACACCAAAGCAGACTGGTGTTTGTTTCGGGCGTTTGCGAGTAGGCACTTTGCGAGTGGTGGAACGCACTCGGCGAGCAGGGGATGTGTCGATCCCCATTCCCAGGCTTCGTGGGGCGTTCGACCAGGGGAACGAGCAATGACACAAACATGAAAACTCGGAGGTCCGCGCGGACTTCTCGGATCGGCGCTGGACCCCGTGCCGCCGCAGCGATGGAGCAGGATCTGCTACCGCCCTCAGGCGGACAAGAACAGCGGCCTCATCATGCTTCTCATGACGAAGTTCACGAACACCGCGGGGGAGAAGCGCTGGGTGTCCATCGATCCGACTGGCAGGCTCCAGGTGATCGATCTCGGCGTCACCGTCAAGGTTCGTCCTCCAGCCTTCTCTGGTGCGGACCACGGCGCCTTCCCTGGCCGTTCGGCGGGGAGATGGCCAAGGCCGTGGCGGCAGCTGACGGCATCATCGCGACGGGCAGCGCCACCGCGACGGCCAGCATCACGCGGGACTACGCTCGGGGTACTGGTGGAGGCCGAGGACGCCGAGGACACCGCCGCAACGTTGCGTCTTGGCTCGCGAAGCTGGTCTCGAGCGTGCTGGGCTAAGCGTGGGCCAGGCGCAGTCTAGGGAGCATGGCCGGGTCCACGTTCATCGTGTGGAGAGCGGCGGCCTACTTCAATCTCGTCGAGTGGGTGAGGCGGGGTTACTTCTCGATCAAGGACACGATGGGCACGGTGGAGAGCTTCATGGAGGAGATCGAGCAGATCGTGGAGATGCACGAGTCGGGAGCCCTCGAACCCCTGTACCTGTGGGTAGGGATCATGCTCACGGCTGGGTTATTGGGCTCGTGCTGCAGGCGGCTGCCATCTTCATCTTCGGTGGCTACGACGTCCTCGTCGGGTTCCTCGGCTCCTCTTGGATGGAGCTGGCCCTCATGGTCGGCCTCGCCCACGCCAAGCTGGTCAGGTTCAACTACGCCGCGAGACGAAAGCACGGCCATCTCGGGCAACGAAGACGGAGACCGGGTGGAGAAGGATGTGCTGAAGCAGCTCCCCAGATCCCCCTCCCCCTCCCCCTCCTCCTCCTCCTCCTCCTCCTCCTCCTCCTCCTCCTCCTCCTCCTCCTCCTCCTCCTCCTCCTCGATCCACTCGCTCGCGCTGGACGCGCTGTCGGACCCCCCCCCCCGGGTCGCTGAGGAGGCTGGATCGCCACAAGGAGATGGTGGAGCAGGACAGCCTCGAGGCAAAGGCAAGCAGCTCCCCGGCTCGGGAGCCGACCAGCAGTTCCTGCCCAGAGATCGACTCGCTCGTCAGGGGCCTGGACGACCTCTTCGAGCACATGCGCGAGAAGGCCAAGGAGAAGCTCAGCGCGTACTCGACCGAGGTGAGCTGGACGATACCCCGCGGCATCAAGACGAGGGTCGCTCCCTCAATGGTGGCACGGCTCTATCGGAGTGGAGCTTCGGCTGTCTCGAGCATGAGGGAGATGATCCGCTTGAAGCAGTTGGAGGGCAACCACATGGCGGAGGAGGCGCTTCTCATCAGCATGATGCTCGACCGCTCCATGATCGAAGCGCCTCCCGACTGGATCAACTACAAGACCACGGAGCTGACCATGAGGCACCTCCACGGGATCGAGAGAGAGAGAGAGAGATTTCGAAAACGCGAAGCAACGCAGCGAATAGAAGCCCCCCAACGGCGCGAAGTCGGGGTGGAAGTCACGCATCAACTACACTCTTCTGAAGGTGCTAGACCCGTCACAGATCGACCAGGACGGACTCCTCATCGACGGCGTGGAGAAGGAGCTCAGGGAACGCCCCGCCCACCGGGCTCTTTCCCCCAAGTCTCTGAACAAGCTGCAGGACAAGAAGAACACGCCGAGCAAGGACGAGTGACCACTATCAGAAGTAGATCATTGCGGGCAATATCTATATCCATACCCAGTGCGTCTTGGACTTTCTTGGAGTGGGGACCGCAGGGCCGAGGCGCACTGGATATGGATAAAAGTCGAGCCTCGAAGGGGGCAGATACTCATCCATATCCAATGCGCATCAGGCTCCCGGGCAAAGGAGCCCGAAACTCCAGGCTGCAGTGGATGTGGACAAAAGTATTGCCCGCAGTCATGCCAGCACTTCGGGGAAGTGCTTCATCTTCGCGGGGGCCGCTCACACCTACTGTTATGTCGGGCGTGTCCCCCTACAGGGGGATTTTCAACGAAAAATAAAAGTGCCCAAACAATACGACAAAAAGGTCAAACAATACCCCAAACAAAATCCCCAGACTAGTTTTGGATTAGTTTTGACAAGTTGTGGGGCATTTTGTAAGTTTTCGTCGAAAATCCCCCTGCAGGGGGACACGCCCGACTTAAAGCAAGGGATCAGGAGATCAGGAACAGGGCGAACGCGGCTTTGAGGTCCCGAACCGCGATGGCTACGAACTCGTACGACCGCCTCCAAGACACGACATGGGGAAGTGCCAGGGAGTGGACGCCGAGCCACGAGTTGCCGCGCAGGATCTCCGAGCGGGTGCTGGAGTGCCACGAGGAAGCTCGCGACCAGAAGATGTACGACTCCGACGCCGAGTCCGCTTTCGAGCGGTTGGCCTTGCATGCCAAGCCTGGTTCCTGCGGATGCTCAGTTGTCTTGGAGGAGGGCGCCAGCGACGTGCCGCAGCGGGGGAAAGCAATGCCCTTCGCGAGCGGCGAGGCGTCTCTGCCGCCAGCGGGGACGCAGCCATGCGACATCTGTTTGGTTTCGCCAAAGGCACGGTACAACTTCGACGACAGGGTGGCCTTACCACCGAGCCAGATCGACAAGGGGGATATCTCGAGCGCGAGGGCATACACGGACGCAAGCTTGAGGCACAATGCAGCCCGCCTGAAGTTCGCGGTGAGACTCTGGGAGTCGGGCATGCTGGGCTCCACGCACATGCGCAGAGCGGAGGTATCGGTGTTCTCCGTGATGAAGACGGTGAGCGAGACGGACAGCTTCATCCTTCGGCCAGCCTGCGACATGAGGCAGGTGAACAAGGGAACAAGCGCTTCCACTGGCCCCCGCACCTGGCCCTCGGACCCCCGATGGCGATGCCCGAGCTCGATCCGTCCGACCAGGTGACCGACGGGAAGCCGCTCCAGCCTCTCCCAGACGCCAGGGCATGCAGCGAGCTGTGGCCGTGCATGGCGCTCGGCGGGGCTACGACACCCCGGCTTGCTCGAGAACTGCGGCGCCGAGGCAAGAAGGCCCCGTGTGCCCCCAGAGAAGCTCGATCCCTCTGCTCGATCGCCATGTCGATGGGCTTCGGCTGGCCTCCCGCGATCTGCCACGGAGGTCCGGAGGACATGCTCCGAGACCCGCCGGCGCTCCGCGAGGAGGGCAGCTCCTCCACGGACCAATGCCCCCAAGCTTCTCAGAGATCGCGTTCCTCTACTGGGTCTTCATCGACGACTCCGCCTCGACGGCGCTCCAGTCAGCAGGGGGCCAGGGGACCACGGAGTTGGTTCGAGAAGCAGCGAGATCGAAGCTGAAGGAGGTGGGGCTAGGCACGCACGAGGATGACTCAGGCGGTGCGATGCCCTTGTCACTGGGCGTCACAATCACGGAGCGCCCGTGCCGCTTGATGGCAGCGCAGGAGAAGATCAGGAGTGTTTTTGGAGCCACCAAGGCGCTCTTGGACCGAGGCCGAGCAACGTCTACCGGGCTCTCGAGGATCATCGGCTCCTGGGTCTGGTTTGCGATGTGTTGCCGGGCCGCCTTCTGTCTTCTGGACGCACGCTACAAGTTCGTGACCAAGTGCGAGGGGGACGACACGAGCCACGAGCTGCCCCATGATGTATACCCACTTGGAATCTCAATGGAGCAGGACAGTCTTCGCGACCGACGCGGGCGAGGAGGGCCTGGGAGTGTTCGAGACGAGCGGGAGCAAGGACTTGCCGTCGCTCGGACGTTCACTACCCGTGCATTTTTCGGTTTCGTGCGTGTTTTTTTGCTCGATGGTCCAGGATGGTCCTCGATGGTTCTCGCCGAGAAAAAATGAACACGTCCGAGCGATGCAAAGAGGAGGAGGTCAAGACCGAGGTCGACGGGCACTGGAAGACCGAGCAGCCTCGGGAGGTGGCTAGAGACGAGGAGGAGGAGCTTCTCAGCGGGGAGAATCTGGAGCGAACTCGCCTCGGCATTCCCCCAGTGTTGTGGATGCCATGACAATGGACACTCGAATTCGCCGGCCCAACGGGCCAGGGCGTGCTAAGATCTCCGGTAACAGGTAAACAGTATTTCTAGTTCGCGCGCGCAGGGCGGCCCCTGGGGGTCCCCGAGCGAAAAGTACCCCGGGCGATCCCCGGCAGATCCCCGGCAGACTAGGGGTCAGAGATGCCGGAATTCTGTTTCGGAGCCCAAGAGGGCTCCAGATCGCCCCAAGAGGGCCCCAAGAGGCCCCAAACATGGTCTAAGAGGGGCCCCAGACGCCCGAAGATCGCTCCACGACGCCCAAGATGGCCTCCAGACGGCCCAAGAGGCCTCCAAGATGGCCCAAGAGGCATCTAAGAGGCCTCCAAAAAGGGCCGCAAGAAGCAAAAATCGTTGATTGTCCATTGGTTTTTGAAGGTTTTTGGCGTTCTCGCATTTTCAGCTGCCGACGCTCCAAGACGCCCCAAGAGGCCCCCAAGACCGCCCCAAGACGGCCCGAGAGGTCTCCAAGAGGGCCCCCAAACGGCCCAAGATGGCCCCAAGACTGCCCAAAAGGCCTCCAAGACGGCCCAATACACCCCCAAGACGGCTCCAAGAGAGGGCACAGACGGGGGACCCGAACGGGCATTTCGACATCTTTGCCCGAAGTGGCCCCCAGGAGGCCCCAAGAGGCCCCCAAGAGGCCCCAGGAGGCCCCAAAAACACCTCCAACAGGCCCCCGAGAGGCCTCCCAAGAGACCCCACGAAGCCTCCCCAAAGAGGCGTCTTGTCCACGACCAGGGTTGGCCCCAAAAATACTCCAAGAAGCCATCGAGAGACCGCCTCCTCGTCCTCATCCTCCCCTCTTCATCCTCCTCCTCCTCCCCCTCCTCCAACTTCTTCTCGCTCGCCACGAACACACAAACATATAGCACCAGCGATACAATGTGGGCCGGCGGAATGAGCGAAGCGATTACATAATCCTATCATTGAATTAAAGATGTGTTAACATGTGTAAAACATGTTCTAAAAACTTGTCAACATGTTTTTACATATTTGCAACATGTTAGAAACATTGTTTGGCATCTGGGAATCATTCGGCAGCATGCTGCCTCTCCGTTAATCGACTTCCACAACCCCAGTGGCTTTCGAGGGCGACGTGCCCACTCCGAGGTGGATGGCGGACGTCGTTTCGGGCTGCGGCGGCTTTGGTCCAGTCAAGGCGAGAAGCGCTGCAGTGCCGCGAGCTGTCCGTGGACAGCGCGAGGCGGCCGCGCCGCGACCTGATGGGCCCGTCCTTCGTCGAGCTGGTTTGCCCGGCGATGTTGCGCGGCTTCTTCTTCTTCTTCTTCTTCTTCTTCTTCTTCTTCATGGCTCACCTGGCTCCCCCATGCTCTTCGTTCTCTCGAGCTCGACGGCCGCCTCTTCGAGCACCGGGGCGATGGATACGGGGTCTACCCAGGCTGCCTCCCCACAGGTGCAGCGGGCGAGGGAGGGCAACGTGCTGGTTCAAGCGGCTATCTCGATCTGCTACACGTGCCTGGCGGCTGGCATTGTCTTCTCTCTCGGTAATCCGAGGACGTCGATGATCTGGGATCTCCCCGAGATGATCCAGCTCTTAGAGGTCGAGGGTGTATGTTTGGTGGAGATGGTGCATTGTGCATTCGAAGCAAAATGGATGAAGCCCACTCGTATCTTGACCAACGCGGGCAACTGTGGACCCGACTGGCGGCCGCGTACCCAACTCGTCTGTGCAGCGCGTACGCTTTGTGCATCGTCAAAGACGTGGCGAACAAGGAGCTCGTGCTGCACGACTGGCACGCGCGGAAGATTCGCTCTCCGCCGCAAAGGCCGATAGCGGTGATGAGCCATTGGGCAGATACATCAAGGTGGCATTTGTTGTGGAAAGGTGTCTGGACGTATCAGGGTCACATCAATGTGCAGGAGCTGTGGACTGTTGCGGCAGTGGCCCGACACCCATGCCGCTCATCAAGAAATTGGTTCAATCGATTCTTGGGTTTGTGCGATTCAATGGTGACAGTCGGCGCGGCTCGAAAGATGAGGAACTTTTCGCGGCCTCTGATGACGCAACTGAAGAAGATAGGCGCTGTCACGCTAGCGACCGGCATCAAGATGACTTTGAGATGGATTCCCACAGACATGAGCCCAGCCGATGGTCCCTCGCGTGGCGAAGACGTCGGCAGCGCCGAGATCACCAAGGACAAGGCCGAGCTGAAGAAGGCGGCTCTGAGCAGCGACTTCCAACTCGAGAGGCTGTTCGGGGATATCGAGGCGACGAAGGGCATGCACGACGACTATGTCCAGGACTGGCATCTCTAGCGACCGTGCTGTCGTGGCTATATCCCCTGGGAGCCGATGCGCGACAGCAGCCAAGGAGCCACCTCACGAGGACGACAACTTCCACGTGGAGACCGACAACGTGTTCTACGGCGAGGACGAGACCGACTTGGAGGGCATTGGAGGTGCGCGGGCAAGTACTCTGGAAGCCGCTGCATCGAATAATAAACCGCCGTGAAAGAGAGGAAAGCAACGTGCACACGTGCCCCAGGAAAGGAAGGGCGCCCTGGCCTTCGAGAGAGCGCAGCCCGCGAGCTTCCAGTATCGAGGACTTCGACGGACTCAGGTACTTTGGAAGCTCCTCTTCGATTGCTGGCTCACGCTGTCCAAGATGATACCAACGTGAGCTACATTTAGGTCGGGCCTGTAGTCGGAGTTGCCAATACCTTCGCGGGCCTTGCACAGCTGGGAGACGTTTCGGGAGACGTATGAAAGAAGGCCAGCGTCGGTCGAGGCCATCTATTTCATAGCATCGCAAGCGATACTAGCCGACAACGTAGATGAGGGCATGGCTTTCTTGCTGGCTTACGATTGCTATCCGAGAGAACATGATTGGCTGCAGATGCGAGCAGACGACGTTCACGCGAGTTTCAAGTCAAGTCCTGAGGATGTTGGGCAAGGCAGTACCTTTCAAAGCCCTGGAACCATCAAGGTCACGCTTCTTCTGGGACGACGGCACAGAGGAGGGAGCGTGAAGACGGGCCGGGAGCAGGGCGCGGCAATCGATGATGGCATGATCTCGCAGCTGATGGCAGGCAGAGTTCAGAATATGCAGCCCTCCCAGCCATCCCAGAAAATCTTCAACACGAACGCGAAAACAGCTGGAGCAGTTTGGCGCAGTATATTGGTGAAAAAAAGACTGAGTGGATTGGACCGATGCACACCCCGAGGCACAGTGGTTCCAATCATGACACTCTACACCGCTGAAGGAGTACCCAAGAGGTGCAGCGTCGAGGCAGGTGGACCCAGCCCAAGTCGATGGCAAGATGCTCTAAGCCCCACGCGCTGATAGTGCACGACGCCCGTCTCCCGGCGAAGATCCAGCCAGCAGCAAGAGCGGCAAGACACAGCCTGAGCAGAGCCCCTTCGAGCATCCCCTCACCGGGCCCGCGGTGCAGAGCAGCAGATCGCGGGGTCCACTGCCCGAGAGAGACTTCAACATCGGCCAGGCCGCGGAGCCCGTTGGCCCGACGAGCTGAGGCGTGGAGGCGCGCGGAGGCTCCGCGGCCCCAGCTCGCCGTGTGCCAAACGCCCTCTCTCCGCTTCCTCCCTCTTCCTCGTCTCCTCCTCGTCTTCCTCCTCCTCCCTCTTCCTCGTCTCTTCCTCCCTCCTCCTCGTCTCCTCCTCGTCTTCCTTGTCCTCCCTCTTCCTCGAGTCTTCCTCCCTCTCCCTCGCCTCCATCCTATAAATCAAAATGCTGGCACACCCAGCCCCCCAGTCGCAGTTTTTGGGGGAGAGCCCGAGGGTACTGGGTCAGGGGTGTATAGTGAGACCTGTCCCAGAAAGGTCCTGCCCTGGCCCAGGCCTGCCGTGGCGGTCACCACGGCCAAATTGTTTTGAGCAGCGTGCGGTGGCGTGCCGTGGCGGTGTGAAAAACGAATCAGTCTGGCCATCTCGGAGGCTCCGTCTTAGAACCATCATCGTCATCGTCGTCATCATCATCATCACCATCATCATCAGCAGCATCGGCATCAGCATCGGCATCATCATCACCAGCATCATGTCAACCATCACCATCACCATTACAATCACCATCACCACCATCAGCATCGGCATCATCACCGCCATCAGTATCACCACCATCGCAATCATCACCATCATTATGAACATCAACATCTTCACCATCATCACCATCACCATCACCATCACCATCACCATCATCATCATCATCATCATCATCATCATCATCACCGTATCGTAACCAGTATCATCATCTGTATTGTCATCGTCATAGCGTCGTCGTCATCAACAGCATCGTCGTTTCACCATCATCACACTCACCACATCATTACCAACACCAACACCATCATCGTCATCATCGTCATCATCGCCATCATCATCACCATCATCATAATAATCATCATCAACATAAGAATCGTCATCATCATCAACAACATCGTGATCCTAGTCACACCATCATCATCAGCAACATCGCCGTCATCACCACCACCACCATCAACACCAATCATTACCACCGTCATCATCATCGTCATCACCATCAACATCATCATCGTCATCCCCAGTAATCGCTCATCCTGCGCGCGAGCGCGGGCGCGAGCCTATGT